CTTAACTAGAAAGTCCTGATTCTGCTCATTTTTCACCACTGAGGCTGTGGAGCTGAGAGACATGAGGCGAGAGCCACACAATTTAGGGTTGGAATCACCAGATCTCAGTGCATCCTAAGGCAGTTCTTTCTAGCACCAGATGGTCTCTGCACAGGGCTTGACCAGTTGGCTGGAGGTGCTAACTTTGGGATTCAGGGGGCTGGCTGCTTCCCTGAGCAACTGGGTGGTCCCGACTATGATTATGGGCTGCTTGATTAGACTGACTGGGCAGCTGTGATAATTCTCAATTTCTCTCGCTCTCTCTCTCTCACACACACACACATGCTCAAAAGTTTCATAAACTTAACTGTAGAATGTGATATATGACAGCGACTCCCTACAGCGACTGGAAAATGACCAGGCAGTACATCCCAGCCCCTTGCATCTGTGAATTGCTCTGTGCTGCCTATGAGCATTTTTTATTTTCTGGATACGCTTGTGTCTAGATGGGTCTGTTCATAAGTCGAACTCATCAGTAAATCCCCTCAAGTCCACCTTCAAAATAAACTCAGAATCAACGAAATTGGTTTATTTTCTTGTACATTCTCTCTAAAGGCATGGACCATCTGCACATGGAAACCTTTGCTTGGCCTGGGAGAGTCATGGTATTGATAGCATATTGAGTTTCCTGGAGGACTGTGAGCATATTTGAATAGTAAGTTTCCAGGCTCTCGGTCATAAATGAGTTAACGCCTGAAATCTCTTAGCACTGTGCCTATGAGGGAGTACTTTGATAAACGTAACCTAAAAGAGACATTCAGCCACTGTGCTGACTCGTGGTGGTATTAATAGCTACATTATTCAACCCCTGTGTATCAGGTTCTCAACTCTATGCTTTTTGTATATGTTTCCATATGTTATTAAATCTGTACAGCAACACTTTGAGGTAAGTATTACTTTCCTCATAATATAGCCAGGAAAAATTGAGGCTCAGGAAGGCTAAGTATCTTGACCGAAGTCACATAGCTGGGCCATGGTAGAGCCTGGTTAAAACCAGGACTGTCTGATTCCACAGCTTCCCACAAAGTCCTATTGTCCCTGCCAAGGAAAGGAAATCGAGTAAAGTTTCTTTGATTTGAAAGATAAAAGTTTCTCCTTTAATGTTTTAAAACATTTCTTATATCAAGTAAACATGATCAACATCAAGGCCTAGGCCTATTGATGATACCCCGAATTCTAAGGTTGAAAGATGTATTAATTCAACATAAACACAGAAATGTCTCCTCTGTTCCTTTTGATCATCAAAAACGAACATGCTGGTTTTGATCCAGAGCCTCACTTATGTTCCAGAAGCAAATGGTCAAAAATGTGCTGACGTCAACCACTTCTTAAAAGTGGCATCATTAGAGGGACACTGCAAAATATCCCCCTGATAAAAAGCAGGAAAATCTAACAAAATTAAAAAGTCACTCCTAATCTGACCACCCAGCTATAGCTACCATTATTTTTCTGTTTTTACTTTTTTTCATACAGTCATAATCAGACTGTAGACTCAGCTTTGATTCCAGATCTTTTAAAAATTCAGTATTATATAATAAGCATTTCCCCAGCCGCTAACTATTCATAGAAAACAAATATTAGTGGCTCTAAATCAAAGGGTGACAAACTTTGTCTGTACCTGGCCAGATAGTGAATATTTTAGGCTTTGGGGACCACTAGCCTCTGTCACAACTATTCAGCTCAGCCGTTGCAGCCTGAAAACAGCCATAGGCAATGCTTACATGAAGGAGTGGCTGTGTTCCAATAAAACTTTATTTATAAAAACAGGTAGCAGAGCAGATTTGGCCCTCGGGCTACAGTTTGCTGATTCCTGCTCCTGAGTATTACATTACGCACTGTACGGTGTAGCATATAAGCCATAATTCATCCAACTGTTCTACTGTGGGACATCTGAATGGTTTTCAGTGCTCCATCTAACACGGTAAGACAGCGATGGACACGTAGACTCTTGAGGTCCCCTCCTTTGGTCTACACATGGATCCCACGTCACTGCCAAAGTTGCCATGTCCTTTTAGCAGCAGGCCATCCAAGGCCAAGCACTAAGACCCCCTGGGTTCTTGTGGGATGGAACCATTAATAGGAAGTACCCCTGAGAGGACTTCTCCCCCGAAAGCAGCTGTGACTGACTGCAGGGGACCACTCGCCTTCCCAGACCCAAGGCTGCTACTTTAGCACATGGTCCACCTCTTGGCCATCCATCGGATCACCTTTCACAACTCCTTCATATTGCCACGAATTATTTTTGGAATGAGTTCAGGAATATAAAATTTTTAAAAATAGTCCTAACCTACCAAGAAGATAAGTTGAGTTCATCGGTGAAGATTTTTGTTTTCATTTTAGAGGCTGTGAGTAGAGAGGGGACTGAAACACAGGTAGCAGGGAACATGAGCACATCCCCGCTGACAGGAGGAGCGTCTGGGGGAGGGGGCCTCCCACGCCTGGACCCGCCAGTGGACACAGAGTGGATGGGCTTTTAAATGGCTCCTATGGGGAGAGTGGTGATGCCCAGGCAATCTGTCATGCTTCTGAGTGACAGGCATTTCCTTCTCATTTATAGCATGAGAAAGCAGGAGGCAGGATAATTAGTTCACCCTCTTAGGACTATAAAGTAACTCCATGTTGAAAAGAAAGAAGCTGAATCTAGAGAGATTTTTAACAGTAACGTGACTGATGCTCTGGACTTCTCGAGGCCGTGGTCAGCTCGAGAGGTTCAGAAACCCTGATTCCAGTGGCTTCAGCCATGAAGACGTTCCGTTACCTCAGACAATAGCAGGGCTGCAGCCAGATGCCTCCTGGGTTGGCGCAGTGTCCCCAGTGGCCTCGGCATTCTAGGCTGTTGTCTGAGGGTCCCCACATGACAGTCAAAGCTGTGACACATTGAGCAACCGTGTTCATGGCAGGGAAACCGGCCGGGCCTCCAGGCTGTCTCTTTTTCTCAGGGAGCAGTATCTTCCCCAGAAGCCCCAGGACATATGCATCCCCAGAGGACCTCTGAGTCACCTTGGTCAGAACTGGGTCATATGCCCACACTAAGCTGAGGGGTCCAGGGGAACCCTGAGCTGGGCTGGCATCCCTCATGGTCACCCCCAAGCCTGAGCATGTTGCCTTTGGAACAAAATGGAGAGTCTGTAATGAAAGAGGAGGGGAAATGGCTGTTGGGTAAGCGGCCAGCGTCTGGCCGAGGGATTTGATGTTCATTAACGTTTATCATGGACATTGGCCTCCAACAGACAACCTGGCCTAAATGCTCAGCTTCTCCCACTGTTAGCTGTGTGATTCTGGGCAAGTTAGTTAACATCTCTGAGCCTCAGTTTGATCATCTGTACAATGGGTGCCTATTCCTGTTGGTTTATACTTGAACGGGATTTATATAAAGTGCATAGCCTGTGGCACATGGTAAGCCCTCCTCCCATGCACAGGGAGTCCTCTGACCCACAGGGACTCGCCTCCGGGTCCTCCGGGGGTGGGCCTCTGATTTTTTTTGGTTTTTTTTTTTTTTGGTGAGGAAGATTGGCCCTGAGCTAACATCTGTTGCCAATCTTCCTCTTTTTGCTTGAGGAAGACTGTCGCTGAGCTAACATACATGCCAATCTTCCTCTATTTTGTATGTGGGATGCTATCACAGCATGGCTTGATGAGCGGTGTGTAGGTCCATGCCCAGGATCCGAACCTGAGAACCCTGGGCCACCGAAGTGGAGCACGTGAACTTAACCACTATGCCACTGGGCTGGCCCAAGGCCTCCAATTTTGTGGCTCAGTTCTCTGCAAGAGAGTTTGAGTGTTGGATTTGTGGGAGAAACAAAAAAACACCCATCAAAACACGGAGACTAAGCTCAAAGGTGTCTGTACTTTTCTTTCTTTGTTGTTTTTTAAAGGTAAAGGAAGAAGTGGCCGTTCATGCCATTCTGGGGTCTCCACGGGTGGGTCAGGGGACACGGCTGATTGCCCCTCTGCCGAGCTGTAGCTTCTTGGTTGTCGAGGAAGAGAGGAGAGATGGCCTTGCCGACACATCGCTCTTCTTGCCTCTGGGCCTCCTGGGTTCAGGGGCATAACCCAACCCTAGTCACTAGGGGATCAGCTAAGGCTGCCCTGACCGTCCACATTACAGCCTGTGGCATCTGTGCCGTTAATTGACTGATGATGGCTATTTCAAGGAGCGTCCTGGCCAATTCCAAAATTAAGGGTGACAGATATAGAACCCAGACCCACTAGATCAAAAGCTGTTTTGGTGTCTCCCCAGCCCCCTCCACCCGACTGAATCCCTGGTCGTTCCCAGTCTAGCGTAGGCTGTGTAGCCTGGCACAGCTGGTTAGGGGCCCAGCCTGCTGGTGGGCCAAATCCTTGCATCTGGAGCAGCCTCGGGCCATCTCTGGCAGATGCCCAGGCACCACTTTCAGCCTTAGAGCTGAGCTGGTGAGGGGATGGGTGGAGAGTTCCCAATGGGAGCTGGTGATCTGTTTCACTCCCAACTCCACCATTTCCCAGCCGTACAATCCAGAGAATCCTCTGGGTCCCGTCTCCTGGTCGTAATGTCTCCCCTGCCTGCAGAGCCAGCAAGTCTGGATTGAGTGAGATCTAGGGGAACAGTTTGGTAAACGGCGTTACCAACTGCATGATGGGCTTAGTGAGGAGAAGTGATGGTGACCACCTGGAGACCCTTGGAGGACGACCCGAGCATCCCCGAGACCCTCAAATGTTCCTGACTCTTGCTGGTGCCTGCCCTCCCCCATTGAGGCCCAGGCCCCTCCCTCCACACCCCGACACAGGACGGAGTTAGCACAACCTTGACCTCCAGGTGGGGAGGCTCTGGGGTCAGTGGCTTCTTGCTTCACTGTGTTCCAGAACTGTCCCCTTCAGCCTTTGGAGTGCACATTTTCTTTTTCTAGTAACATCTCCAAGAGCCACGGGAGACAGCCCCATTATCCCTTTCACGGACACCCCGGCCCCCTTCTCTGTTGCAGGGCTCCAAAGTCCTGGCCAAGAAGGAGCTGGCCTACGTCCCCATAATCGGCTGGATGTGGTACTTCACGGAGATGGTCTTCTGCACGCGCAAGTGGGAGCAAGACCGCAAGACCGTCTCGCAGAGCTTGCTGCACCTCCGGGATTACCCAGAGAAGTATTTTGTACGTAAGGCCCAGAGCAGCCTCACCACACCCGCACCACACCAGCCCCGATGCACAGCCCCCGGAACAGCCTGACACGCCTCCCGCCGCCCTGCCGGCCTGCCCACGGCCTCCCCCACTGCGCGCACGCTGCCTTCATCCTGTCTCTGGGCTTACTGGTGCAGACAGAAATCCTAAGGAAGCTCCTGTCACTCACACACACACTCAGGATGCTCTTCTTACACTCACACACATTCACACTCAGGATGCTGTTGTCACACTCACTCATTCACACTCAGGATGCTCTTGTCACACACACATATACACTCAGGATGCTCTTGTCAAACACACTCACACTCAAGATGCTCTTGTCAAACACACACTCACACTCAGGATACTCTTGTCACACTCACTCATATACACACAGGATGCTCTCATCTCTCACACACACACACACACACACACACACACACTCTCTCCTCTTCTTTCTAAGTATCCTCAAATGGTAAACCCTTTGTCTCCAAAGCTCATGAGAACCTTGAACACACGAGACACTGGGCAGCAAGAGGTCCATGCGCAGAGCCATGAGCAGAGGAAGGCGGGCCTCTGGGCCCCACCCAGCTGCCGGGCCATCCTTGCTCTGGCCATTCCCTAAGGGCTCCTGTAGGACCGTGTGTGACTGCAGTGTATGAAGGGGGACGGCGTGTGACTATGGGATGGATGGCGTGTGTGACCCTGGGCATGAGTGTGGCCATAAGGCTGTGTGTGAGGGAGGGCTGTGTGTGACTGTAGGACCCTGGGTGACCACCACCCTGTCCCTTCCAGTTCCTGATTCACTGTGAGGGCACCCGCTTCACAGAGAAGAAGCACCAGATCAGCATGCAGGTGGCTCAGGCCAAGGGGCTGCCCAGCCTCAAGTACCACCTGCTGCCGCGCACTAAGGGCTTCGCCGTCACCGTGAGGAGTTTGAGAAATGTAGGTAAGGAAGATCCCGGGGTCCCCGGCCTCCCCACTGCAGCAAGGAAAACCAAACCCCAGCACCCCTGATACAAATAGCTTTGTCCTTGGCTATGCTTCCCAGTGACTGTGGCTAGGAGCTAGGAGGGGACAGAGGATGGCACGTGCACACCTGGCATCAGAGGTTCGGCCACTGCCCGCTCTCTCTCACACACACATTCACACACACACTCCACAGTCACACACTTACACACACACAGGCTGAGCTAACACTGCCCTCTACTGCTCAGTCCCGGTACTGCAGGGCTGTGGGGCCCGTGTGGATGCCCAGGGTCCTCACCTGGGTTCAGCCTGGCCCACACCGCCCCCTCCCCGGGGTAGCCCAGGTTGTTGTTGTTGTTTTGTTTTTGTTTGGCATTTCTTGCCCATCTCTTGGCACCAGCTGCCTCCAGATGATGACCTCTGTGACCTTGTCATCTGTCTGAGCTGACCCTCTGAGTTTGGGTGAAAGTAGCAACCCCAACTTCTCTCCGGCCTCTGGTCACAATTGCTCTGTCTTCTTTCTAGTCCCCATCCCTTGGGTTCAGACAGACCCACTTCCCTTGTCCCTCGGCTCCAAAGGGGGCGGGAAGGGCCACGCCCTGCTCCAGGGCTGGCTCAGGCCTTCCTTAGTCCTCCTGGTGCCAGGCTGTGTGGGGGGAGAGGCTGGGTGCAGTCGTGGAGGGAGAGACGGGCCACCGGTCACCTGGCTCCTGTCGCCACGTGGCCTTCTCCCCTTGGCCTGGCCGGTGGTTCTCCCATCGACCTGTGAGGCCAAGGGCACGGGGCCCCAGCTCCTCCCAGGCCTGCGTCGGGGATCTGGGTTAGATAGTGCGGGTGTGGACGGCGAGGGGTCTCCTGTGGTGTTGCCCACACCTGGGGTCTGGCAGGACCTGTGCAGACGCAGCCCCAGCCAGGCCTCCTGTTGGGACCTCTGCAGCGATGGGGCCCTGAATCTGCGTTTTTAACCGAGGCCCCACTTCCGCAGCCACTGCAGTGGGGGTTTAAGAACCCCATCCGCGCCCCCTCCCCCAGCCTGCCTCGCTTTTCATCCGTCCCCGCAGCCTGCCGCCGTGCCCTGGCCGCTCCCCATGTCCCGGCTCTGACCTTTGTCCCATTACCTGGTGGACTCGTTTCCTCTCACCCAGCTTCTCATCGCTTCCTTCCTGCCCCACCTTCTCCTGGTCACCACGTTTCCTGACTGCTCCTTGCTGGCCCCGTGCCACATGCGCCACCCACAGACACCACCATTTCTGCTCCTCACAGCACCCGAGCATCCAGCGTCACTCCCGGGGAGAGGGAGGAGAAGCGGGTTCTGGAGACTTGGTAGCTTACTGGGGTTTAGCAGAACCAAGGGCCTCCCAGGCATGGCCGCCTGGGCACTCCCTCTCCACGGCCCCGGCCTCCAAGAGGAACCACGTCACCGAGGGGCACCAGCTGTCCTCTACGAACACGTTTTATTCTGGATTTGCTCTAAGGACTAGGACCTGTCTATAGCTGCCCCTGTCTGCACGCCTGACCCCAGCAACCAGGGCCAAGGATGCCCACCTGTTGCTTATCCCTCCTCTGACCTCCCAGACACAAGTTGCTTCCATTTTGGCCATCCGGCAGAGTCAGAGAGTCAGGAGACCCAGCCATGGGGGCCGGCTCCTCCCTCACTGGCTGTGTGAGCCTGGGCAAGTCACCTCACCTCTGATCCTAAGCTTGCTCCTGCAGGAAACTTCTTAGGGTTGCAAGGAGGGTTAAACGAGGAATATGTGCAGGACTTAGCGTCAGGTCTGGCACATAATGAACATTTAATCAAATATTGGCTGAATGCCCTTTACTAGGGGTAATTTTAAGTTTAAAATGCCTGGAAAATATAACAAACATGGGGTTATTTTCCACAAGCCAGATTTTTCCGGTCGGTGACGCCTCTCCCCACCAGGGAGGATAGTCAATCTCCAGCCCCGAGGAGGATGGGAGAGTGGTCTCGGTTGCTGGGTCAGGGAGTGGCTACCCCCAGGCACTTGTGCAGGCCAACAGGAGGGATTCCCCTTGGCTAAGATGCACTTGAGCTGTCAGAGCACCACCTGTGGACCCCACATGGACGGTGATTTTTTTTCCTTATTTTCGAATCTTGGTTCTTCATATTCACAGCCGGACCAAATGACTTTCTACCCTCCTCTCATCCTCCGATGCACTTTATTAATAGTAATTGCACATATGCAAAGCTCTCAGTAAAGTACCAGGCTCACAGTCTATTGAGCACAGACAAGGGGCCAGGCCCGTGGGACCTGCTGACATTCGTCATCTAGCAACCGTGGGACGGAGGCATCAGGAGTCCCGTTCTCCCGGAGAACTGGGCTCAGGGAGGCTGAGCGGCATGTCCAAGAGAAGATCCCGTGGTTGGGAAAAGGTGGCCTGGGTTTTGCACCCAGGCTGACTCCAAAACTCCTGTTCTTTCTACCGTTCAGCCCTGTCTCCCTGACGTGGCAGGAAGAGGCCATCTGTTTCCACTCGGCATTTCTACACTGCTGTTCACTCACTGTTCATTCATGCATCCTGCCAGCCTGCCACCCAATGAGCATTTATCGGGCATGGGCCAGGTCCTGGGGCTGCGACAGTGACTTCTGACATCACTTTGAATATATTGACAGGTTAACCCACCAGTCAGTAGACCTATTAAAATCACAGATTCTTGTTTGTTCCTCAGCCATGTTTCAACGGACTATAGTTCAATTCCTTAAGAAGTTTCCAGTATCTTATTCTAGTTTTGTAGCTGTCTTATTTTCTAGAGGAAAAAATGTGCATAGAATGGTCATGCAGCCGTAAGTCAGACACATCCTCAGAGAGTATTCTCCAGATTGCTTCATCTTACTATTGCTATTTGTTTAAATATTTGCATTTGTTGTAGTCATCTCAATGGGACACTGCAGTATTACTTTAAACTGGTCTGACCTCAGTCATAACTCGGTTTCCCATTACTAAGTGGTAGTGTGCTTTTCTGATTACAAAATGTGTCCAGTGTAGACCATTTGGACAACAGAGCAAGCATGAAGAAGAAACCAGTAACGTCCTCATTCCAAGATAACCAGCTAGCAATTTGATTATTGTTTTCCAATGTGTGTATTTACAAAACAAATTTGGGTTCACACGCTCTATACTGCTTTGTATTTGTTTTATTTTTTATAGTTTCAGCTGTATATGACTGTACACTCAATTTCAGAAATAATGAAAATCCAACACTGCTGGGAGTCCTAAATGGAAAGAAATATCACGCAGATTTATATGTTAGGTAAGTTGGCTCCATTTCCTTTCCAGAAAAGAGAGGGCCGGCTTCAAAGTAAATAAATCACAAATGACCTACGGACCTTCTTCCAGGGAAATCTATGTAATATTTTCTTGTCTGCAGTCTGTATTGAATTGAACTTGTTCACAGTCTGTAGTTATATTATGAACTCCAGACAGACAGGCACACTGTTGCACATAATCAGGGGAAGCCTCCTTTCCTCCCAGCTACTTCCTGATTCTCTCTCACCATCATCCTTATCACGGAGCTCAGGTTGGACAAATGGAAAACAATATTTTACACAATCATTTTGAGACTGAGTGTGACAAGATGATTTTATTGACCCCTTTTCTTGGAGGATTTGTCAGCTACATAGAAATATACAGAGATAAGAGCATATATAATTTATAAGGCCGTCTAGAAGCAAATGGAGAACATTTTAGTGGTACCTCACTTATGTGTTATATTCCAAGCTATTACGATTTTATTGAAAACACTTTCACAAGACGTATAGAATGGGTCTGACCCTAGTCTTCTGCAATGTCATTGAGATTAGCGGGAAACAAGTGAAAGACGCTGCAGACAGTAAAACACAAATGTGATTCACACATTAAAACCCAACGTGACGGGGCTCAGGGATGGCACTGGCTTCTTGTGCGGGAGGTTGTCTCCCCCAAAGGCCAACCAAGATGATCTGAAGTGCCCACTACTGGAGATTAGCCAAGTGTTCTAGAACACTCTGTATGTGGCAATAACGTCAAATATGTTATTGAAAAAAGCAAAATCGCCTAAACTCCCACTATCCAAGTAAAGAAATAGTAGGCAGGCTTTCTAACTCTTTTCAAGAAACACATTTAGAGATCTGGTTTGCAAACCAGAGTAGATCAGAAACAGCAAAGAAGTGGACTATTTGTGGAAGAATATGTGCGAGCTTACAGGGTAATTTTTACTTATGTGAAAAACTTAGCTCTGTATAATACTGCCTGTTATAAGACAAAATTCCACAGTTTACTCTCTTAACAGGCTATAGTGAGATGGAAAACTTCTAAAAATGTCTATTAGTAAGTCATTGGGCCAGAGGGGGGAATGAAATGACCCACAGAAAATCATGATGGATGCAGAAATTTACATGGAAAAAATCAAGTAAATGAACATGCCATGCATTTTGTGAAATCACAAAAGCCAGCAACCTGAAAACAAATAGAAATATCTATGGAACAGGAAACATGGCCCAGTGACTTCTCCTCTCGTTCGGCATAGGCTGTTTGCAAGTGATGGAGCCTTCAGCCCTGACAGCACCAGCCCAGAGTCCCCCGGAATTTCTATCTCCCACTCGTGAGCCGAGGGTCTGAGCCACAGAGCCTGGTTTCTCCTGTCTAGGAGGAACATTAGTTCTCCAAGATACACATCCTTTTACTCAGCAAAACCCTTGCAGAAAGTCGGCCTCAAGACTGCCCACAAGGCCAAAGGAATCATGCAATGGGAGATACTTTGCCATTAGCGTTGTTGCCTGGCTGGGACAAGTTCCAGCATATTATGTCCTACACAGATTCTGTGTATGTGGGAGTATCTCATGTGGAAACGGAGGCCTTGTTTTCTACTGAGAGGCAAACGTCAGGTGTCTGGAGCCTTTCTGTAAAGTGGCAGGGAGGACGGAAAGAGGCCAGTGTCCTCTCCTGACCAAGTCTCTGTCTGAGTCACTGAAAGGGCCCTGGCTCGTTCCTTCCTGGGCCATGACTGCAACATGGTGGACATAGATTTCCCCCCTTTCTATCAACTGAATTACCCTCTTCACATCCACATGATTGCCGCTCCCTAAACAGAAGCCAAAGATGGCAAGCACTATTTTGAAATCAGGTTTGGGACGCCTGGCATTGCCCTCCTCCCAGTAGCTGCTCTCTGCTTTGCAGGCGGATTCCTCTAGAAGAAGTCCCGGAAGATGAGGACAAGTGTTCAGCCTGGCTCCACAAACTCTACCAGGAGAAGGTCAGTGCAGTGGGGGCGGCCCTGCAGGGGCTCACGGATCCACTTCTGGTGGCAGCTGTGGGTGCAGTGTGGGGGCCTTTGGGAACTGAGAGGGGCGGCAAGCCTTCTTCCATTGGGCGAGATCTCACACCCCAGTTATCGGCAGTCCTGGAGCTGCCGCTCTACTTGGCAAGAGGAAAAAGAACAGGGCAAATTATTTTTTACGGGCGCTTCAGAGAAAGAATGGAACTAGTTCATGGGTGTAGTGGACAGAAAGGAAGTAATGGCCCCAACAGCTGTGTCTATTTTCCTGTCTCTGGTCCTAAAGCAAAATATTCTTGAAGGTGTGGTGTTCTCTTTAGCCAGGCAGATGGTCTTGATGGCTTCTGGGTCCACCATTTGTTCACATGTGGGGTCTCAAAACATCACGGGCACAAGCAGGATGAAGCCCACAAGGCTCCACCTTGGCTGGGTTTGATCTGCTGCAGTGCCCCCCTCCTGTCTGTGCTCCAGCTCCCCAGGGACCCCCACTTTCTCTTTCCTTCCTCTGAGCAGGGCCTTATCTTTCATTGGTTTCTCTCCATTTTCACTACCCAGTAAAAACTTATTTCTGATCCATCATACGTTTTAAGCCCAAACCAGTGCATTATCTAGAATCAGACATTTGGCAGAATTCTAATTTCCTTTCATCAAATTCCATGAATAGACTGGCTGACATTTGCTTTTTCTCCCCATCCCTGAAGAGAAGATAATCACACAGAACTTTATGAGACCTCCGCTCCAGTTGAATAAGAGTTTTAATCTTGCCTTTGAGAATCTGTTAGGATTTCGGTCCAAAAGTCTTCCAAGTTACCGCCATCAAATTAAGTACAGACGCTCTTATAAATATGCTGTTTTTGGAATCAAGATCCTGATATTCTCTTAGCAAGAAGTGGCTCCTGTCTTCCCAAGGAAGTGTTTTTCCAATGATGCCTTTGAAATGCCACTCTGAGTTGGCCATTTTGGTCTCTTTTCCGGCTGGGTTATGGGCATAGCTCTCAGACTCCTCTTAAAGAGCGACGTTTACCTGTGACCAGAGCTGCAACTGTCCAGATGCCTAGGCCTCAGCCTCAGAGATTCCTACTGAGTAGGCCTGAAGTGGAACCTAGAAATGTGTATTTCTAGGAAGCTGCTTCTGACGCAGACGGTCTGAGGACTCGTGTTTGGAAACGCACTGCCTGACGCTTTTTAACAGCAGATGCCAAGTTATCGAGGTTCTGTGCTGATGCACAGACAAACACAAAACAATATAAATTCTTTCCCTCTGGTTTCCTGCACGAGGCAGCATTTTCCTTGTGCTGTTTTCTAGTTTCATCATTGAGGCGGTATAAAAAATGTCACTGTTAGCACAAAGAAAAATGTGCCAAGAAAAGGCCCAAGAAATGAATCCTTTCATAAAGAGCCACATAAACAAATCTACAACAAATGCAGGCCCCAAACTATCAAAGCAAAGGAGATTTTTCTCGATCTGCCCTTTCTTTCCTCTGTCCAGGCGTGAGAACTGTGGTCATGGTGTAAACCGGGCCTCCTTGGGCTTTTAGCAAAGAGGCCCCTTTCCTTCTAGATAAAGTCTCAGAATGTTTTTCTCTCAACTATGTTTGCATTAAAATGATAACGTTCAATTTGGGAGAGTTCCTCAAACAGCCACAGTTCAAAGCTCTTATGTTAGTGACGAGGAAATTAAGGTCCAGAGAATGATGTAATTTGCCCACATCTTCCAGCTCCGTAAGCAGAGCCAGGTGCCGGGGGCCAGGTCTCTTCTCCACACGGCGGCTGGGACGACAGCCCAGTTCCCTGCGTCTGTGAACAGACCTTTGAGGCTGGCCTTTTCCCTTGGGGGACAACCACTGACCAGTAAGTGGAAGTGGTCAGCAGTGCCACCAAGAGGAAATGAGAGTACATATCAAAGAACGATATGCATCCTACCCTTTCTGTGTCAGGAGACTAGATGTGTCCGGGGCTTTCCGTGCCAAAAATCTTGGTGCCCCACCAAGCTTGTTGAAGCAGGGCTCTGTTTTAATCATCATCTTTTAGATGTACGGTGTCCAAAGACAACTCTGTTGGCTTTGAGCTTGGGGTTTTAGGGCAGTTCCCAGTTCAATTTCACGGCCAAGTAAGTTTCTGCAAAATGTGGGAGGGAGTGGTGGGCAGCCAACAGGGGTGTGCCAACATGGTATTCTGTTCAAGCAGGGACACAAATAAAAAGAAATCTACCACTGCCATTTAAACACTCGCAAAAATAGGAAGGGTGTCATCTCTGAAAACAGGGCCATCCTTTAAGTGGAACAAGTTGAGCATTTAGAAAACGCACACGTTTATTACATGTCAGGGTTTGGGACCCCTGTTTGCTATAGAGGGTGTGACATGACCCTCACATGATCTCCTTGGGGACACAGGCAGCTGCCAAATGCACTCCATCTCAGGTTGAACCTACAATCCCAGAACCACTGTCCGCAGAGCCCTCATGGTTTCTCAGTTGTCTGCTTTGAACAATTTCTGACTTTTCATTTCTAACTTAACACAACTTAAACTTGTAGGGTGAAGTCTGCTGAAGGGATGAGAAATTAGCCATTAATGGTGCAAATTAAAATATGGGTGAAAGAAGCGACATTCTGGGCTGTCTTGTGGGTGTGCAGGGTCCACGGAGGCCAAGGTCGGAGTGGCTCTGTGTGGGGTGCAGAGCTGGGAATGTGGGGTGCAGGGCCAGCGGGAAAGGCTGCACTTACAAGCACTGGCCTTCAAGAATAAGAATTAAGGGTTTTGCAAGCTGGCAATCATTTCTTTGCTTATACTAAGGGTTTTGCAAGCTGGCAATCGTTTCTTTGCTCATTGGAAGGGTGGCAGGATCTGGGGCTTGGCCCCAAGGCACAGTCCTTTGCAAAGGCCACTCTCAGGCCCGAGCTCTGGCTTCAGGTGCTGGAGGCCAGGTCTTTTCTCTCCAGGGAGGCTGGGACGCCTCCACCTGAGAATATGGGGAGGGCTGTTCTCAGACACCATCTCCCCTGCCAGACTCACTGACAAAAGAGGAGCCAGCTCCTTCTCTGTCCCTCCCTTTCTTTTTGTCTCTTTTCTTTTTCCTTCTCTTTTCTTCCCTCTCTCCCTCCTTTCTTCTCCAAGACCACAAGAGAAATTTTATTTTGCTAAGCCCAATGTTGGGCAAGCCCAGCCGGTCTGGCTGTGTAGACAGCATGGCCTCTGGCACCCTCCTCTCCGGGGCTTGGGTCATCTGCTGCTGACTGTACGCTCAGGGCATTCACCAACAGGATCTCACCCTCCTTCTGACTTTTGGGTTGGTGTTTCTGTCTGGAACAAACCAACTCTCCTTTCACCAAATACTATTCTCAATTCCAACTTAGGCCATGTGATGATCACACACGGAAACGAAAAATTAAAGCATCATAACCAAAGTCCCCTCCTGGCAGGGCAGGCTTTATTACAAAAGAAGTTATCCAGCCAGGAGAGGTCACAAACATCCCGCTGTGGGAGCTGAAGTCTGGCCCCCCACAGGCCCTCCGCGTCCCACCCTGCAAAGTAACAAAGTCACAGTCAGGAAGCCTGGAAGGCCAGCAAGAGTTACTACAGCGGCCATGTCGCTGGGTAACAGGGAGGGGTCCTGGGGTGAGACTTAGTTTTCTAAACAAACCAGAGAAAAAGAAAACTGTGCAGGGAATAAGAAGTCCTGCATCCTGCTGACTCCTAGAGAAGGGAGAGCTTGTTCCTCTTGCTAGAGGTGCACATAAACAGTCTTGGCCTAGCAAATGTCTTTCTAGAAACAAGACAGCAAAAGCATCATCGGTCCCCCACTGTAATGTTACAATAGGAAAAGGTGCTTAAGACCACTATGGAAAAGAATTTTAAAAAACGTGCCCATTTTTAAAATGAGTGAATTTTATGGTATGTGAATGATGCCTCAATAAAGCTGTTTTTAAAAAGGCATAAAAGTATCACCTCCTGGCTTAGTCCAGTCAGGCTTCTATAGCCAAGTGCCACAGACTGGGTGACTTATAAACAACAGAAATTTATGTCTCACAGTCTGGAGGCTGGGAGTCCAAGATCGGGGTGCCCACATGGTTGGGTCTGGTTACGGCCCTCATCCCACTTGCTGAGTCCTCACGAGATGGAGGGAGTGAAGGAGCTCTCTGGGGGTCCCTTTTATAAGGGCACTAATCCCATTCATGAGGGCTCCACCCTCATGATCTAATCACCTCCCAGAGGCCCCACCTCCTAACACCATCACACTGGGGGTACGGTACATTTCAACACAGGAATTCTGTGGGGACACATTCAGTCCACTGCACAGTTATCAGGCTCCGGGTGGCCCCCACTTGGGATGAGAAAAATCACCCACATTTCTGGCAGGGAGGCAAAGTGAGAGGCCTTGGCAGAGTTAGGTGCCATCTCTTGGGCATCCCACATGTCATCATCACTTCCTTGTAAGTCATCTGTTTAGGCGACAGGCTCTGTGTGCCTCAGTTCTTGAGGGTGGGAGCACCTGGCACATGAGTCGATTGTCCTATAGTTTCTTGATTACTTGATTTCCCCTGAGAACCTCCGGGCTCCCCTCAGCCTTTGTCCAAGAAGAGAGACAAGGAGGGAGGTCTGGACTCAGCTGGGGAAGGGGCTGCAGTGCAGAGCTCCTGAATCCCCAGGGAAGGGGTTAGAGGTTATCCAGCCCAAATGGCCCGTTTGTGGACTCATTTTAATAATGATTCTGAGTGGTCAAAAAACTGTATTATTCATACCCCCTGACTGGGAGAGAAGAAAAGTGTAATGTACTTTAGACATTTCTATCTCAAGTTGTTAAAGGAAAAAATTCAGCACTTAACATCTAAGTTTCAGGTGTATGGAAGCTCGTTTTCCAGAAAACTGGACTCCTTCAAGAACTGGGACATTACTAGGCTAAGATGGGTTGCAAACAGCCCGGTGCGGCCCAGCGTTGTTTTTGGCACACACGCTGTCAGCCCCCGGGGATGTTTTTACAATACTTGAATTAGTTGCTGATGTTAAGAAATGAGGAAACTCCCCATGGTTGTCTGACTCTGAATTCAATAAGGTTCAGCTCTCAGCCCTCGTCGTCACACGGCTGTGACCGCCCTGGGAGGCTGCTGTCATCCTGGTGCCACACTCTCTGGCCTTGTTGCCCCTCGCCCCCGGCCCAGCCCGGCAGCTCTCCCGGCTGTGGCCTTTCCTGGGTCCCGCAGCTCTGTGGGCGAGTCCAGCTGGGATGGGGCTCTGCTGCGCATCCACCTGCTGAAGAGCCTGGCCCTTGGGGGGCTTCCCGGTTCTTTCCTGTGCACCTCACTGAGCCTGATGTTGGGCCCGAGAGTGAATTTCCTGCAAACCACTCAGCAACACACAGGCTGGGAGATTTAGACGTGGATGAGCAGAATTTCTGGTATTTGGTTTCAGGTAGAGAGTCTGCCCCAACAAGTAAGGGCTGGACCTCTTGACCTTCTGGCTGTCTCGCTGGTCACCTACAACAGTTGCTTGATCCTGAGGAAGGAAGGAGGCCCAGAGAGCAATGCTGCTGGTGGCTGGCCTGGGCCAGGCACCGAGTCCTCCCGGGCTCGGCCTCCTCCGTGAGCGCCTCACCTCCCCCGAGCAGCACCCCCAGCCCGTTGTCATTGTGCAGCCTTGGCGTGCAGCCCGGGTGCCGTGGGGAATCCATGTGAACTGCGTGCTGAGGTGACAGGGGGGCGGTGTCGTGGGTTGGGTGCAGGGGCGAGCTCACGGCTCTGCCCGCTCCTCCTCCAAGGCTCAGGTTTCTACTCTGTTCTGTGATGTTCACTGAGGGCCAGGTTCAGTGCATCGTCTCACTTCATTCTCCCAGCGACCTGTTCTGGACAGGACTACTGCCCGTCTTCCAGACCGGCAGCCTGGCCTCAGAGGCTGGTCACCTCTGTTGGTGACTACTAAGCTGGTGAGTACTCAGTTGATGAGTACTAAGGAGCAGGCCTAGGACCAGACCCGGCTGACCTGGCCCCTAACTAAGCTCAAGGTCCTATACCTGGACTGAGCAACCGGGCTACAGCAGTCCTGCCTCTCCAGGTGTCACTGTGGGAAGGGGACAGCCAAACTCAGTATTGTGAAGACACATTAGGTGTCTGCAAGACACCTTCTGTGAGGTGCTGCAGACCCCTAGTTCTGCCGAGCCACAGTGGCCCCCATGTGCCTCTGGAGAGGCCTGCCCAAGCCTGGTGTCATGTCTGAGAGAGGTCCCCTCTTTGTCCCCAGGATGCCTTCCAGGAGGAGTACTACAGGACAGGCACCTTCCCGGAAACGCCCATGGTGCCCCCACGGCGGCCCTGGACACTCGTGAACTGGTTGTTCTGGGCCTCGCTGCTTCTCTACCCTTTCTTCCGGTTCCTGGTCACCATGATCAGCAGCGGGTCTTCCCTGACACTGGCCAGCTTCGTCCTCGTCTTCTTTGTGGGTGAGTGGGGCGAAACAGGCTCACGAGGAGCACCTAACAGGGGAGAGGTGGGGACGGAAGTGTGGTCAACTCACCACAGGTGCTGTGCCATCTGTGAGGAGAAGGCACAGCCTGCAGATTGACAGGGGAAACTCAATTTCAGGACTCGTGTTCAGACACACTGAGAATCCCAGGCTGGAGAAATTGCACATCTGGCTGTCCAGCTCTCGCCCAGGCTGGAGCTCCCTCGCTGTCCCTGTGGGATGGCCACACGGCTGCTCCGTAAACTCCTCCAGTGACGGCATCTCCCACTTCCCTGGCCTCTGCAGACAGCTCTGCTCGTTACAGTCATCTCCTCCCTGACATGAGGGAAAGCGTTTCCTGGAGCCCAACAGGAACTGACAAAGGCTCTCTGCCATTCAAAGCAGGTCCAGGCCCCTCTGGGCAGCGTGTGCTCCTTGGTCACCACACGCACTGACCTCGAATGGAGGTGTTCGGACTCTCAGTTTTCTCAATAACCCACGTTGGCTTTATTTGACCAGTAGTTTCCAACTGCTGCTATTTCTTCATAGCACCAAGCTTCCCTTGGTTTTTGAAATGGGGCAGCCAGGTGCCACTGCATTTGCTTCTCGCCCTATGAATGGGGGAACCTGTGCTTCCTGGAGCCACAGGGAAACTTGGGGGGTTTCCCTGGGAAAGGGAGCCCCATTGCAAGCCCCTCTGAATTAGCCCCGTCTCCCTGAGTCTGGGGAGGAAGGCGTCCTTTCCAGAGACTCTGGAGAGCGTGGGCAGAGGGCATCTCACTTTCCAAGACTGAGGAAAAACGGCGCGGAGTCAAACGCATGCAATGGTCTGTGTGTTTATTTCAGTGGACCTCTCTCAGTTATTCCTGCAAAACATACAGATGCTCTTGTGCTCACTGTAAAAGACCCAAACAAAAGAAATTGTGTATAAAATTGACAGTGTCTCAGGACAAAATTCCCCCTTTGATCCTGCTCCACAGAGATAACCTCTATTAACAGTTGGGTGCACATTCTTCCAGGTTCAGACATATATATATATATATATATGCATACATAAGTTCACACAAATGGAGTTTCTCTCACTCACTGTTTTCCTCTAATAAATCATGGCCACTGACACGTCACAACACATAAACCTATCTCATTCTTTTGGATCAAGACAACCAATTCTAGACTGTATGGTTGCAGTAGGCAAACTGGCCACTGTTCCTAAAATAGAACCTACTGCCATCTTTCTTAAAATTAAAAGCTACATTTTAATGTTAAAAATTAAAATAACACCCACTCTTTGTAGGAAAAAAAGTACAGAAAGAAGAGGATGCAGAAGAAAACCCCTATCTATGATGTAACTCCCCATGGGCAGGCCACAGGCCCCAGTGCTGCTGGGCGGGAGCCAGGAGTGCAGGAGCAGCGGTGGCCAGGGCCCCCAGGGGGATGGGCACAGACTCAGCATTTCTCTTGCAAGAGACATCATTTCTCTTGCCCCCTGGAGAAAACCACAGCTCCCTGGAGATGAAGGGTGAGAAGGGGCTGCCCAGGTGTGCAGTGACTGCCAAACAGAGGGCACATGTTCCCCGGGAGACACGGGGGTCTCCAGGAGCTTTGGAGGAACCAACCACTCTGTGTCTCCCCGCCCCACAGGCCAAGGCCTCATCACCCGCACGCCCGAGCCTTACCGCACTTTGCCCTGAATTACTCTGAGTTTACATCTTGTTCCTCTTACGAGGCCTTCGAGCAATGGAGTCCATGTTTTACCACTTCTTTATTTTCTGCAATATCACCATCGCTACTGCACAGAAGTTCCAATATTGGGACAAGGGCTCATGTCCCAACCTCTTTAAAGTTGGCCCCAGGCTGAAGTGTGCCCATCTAACTGACCCAGGGGACACATGTGCCTCATACTGGCTGGTGGACTCGCCCATCCCAGTTGGTTCCCTCCACATCTAACAGTTCACAGACCCCAATGCTAATGCTCTGTAAACACGTGCACTGAGACTTAGAGATTCAGCCATCATCCATCTGGCCTTCCTTAGACGCGTATTACAAATGGCCTGTTTGCCAGGCCCTGCACTCAGTGCTGGGCACATCAAGGTGATTGCGACGGGGTCCCTGCCCCCAAGGAGCTCACCGAGCCGGCCCTCTCCAGAGGCAGGGCTTCGACTGCAGCTTCAGAGCTTCAGTCCCTGTTCTCCAGCTTCCTAGTGGTTACTGGGCTCTCAGGTGGGTCCTATGCTTTCTCTGTTTGGGACAAATCCTGCTGTTGGAGAAAGGGCTTTCCGTGGAGGCAGGAACTCTGCTTGTCCACTGCTCTGATACTTGCACCATAAGCAATGGTGGCACATGCTGGGCACTGGATAGATATTTGAGCTCTTGCATTCTCCAGGCTCCTGGTATATTTTTTATTAAGCTTCACTGACGGGTGCCCCATAACTTCCTGCCCTGCATTCACATGAGAATCCTCTTAGCCTTAGGGGTCAGCACAGAAGCAGAGGAATTCTGTAAGCCCCATGCACAGCTGGGTACAACTTACCAAATTCTGTTCACCTCCAGTGTCAAAGGATTAAAACCTGCCAACAGAACAGCCTTGCTCCATGTCTTAATGTCACTTAGTCCAGTGAGACCCCTGGGACCTATGCTCAAGGATCCCTGTAAGGCAGGGATTAGGAAATGGCACCCCAAATCAGCCAGCTCTCAGCTATGCTTGAGATTTGCAGACAGCTGCCTCTTGTGGTTCTCGTTGGGCAAATCACCCTGGGGGCCCTACAGGCTCCTCTAACTCCCTGCCCTTCCCATTTCTGCAGCTTCCATGGGAGTTCGATGGATGATCGGCGTGACAGAAATAGACAAGGGCTCAGCCTACGGCAACATCGACAGCAAGCAGAAACAGAACGACTGACTCAGGACATGTTGCCATCCAAAGGGGACCTTGGGAACTGGTGGACGCTGCCTTTCATCCTTGGTGAGACCCAGTGACGAAGCTGGGTGAGCCCCTGCTGGGAAGGCAGGGAGTCTGGTCTCAACGCCGAATGGGGAGGAAGATGTGCTTAAATCTTTTCCCCCATATGCTTTAGTGGGTTTCGGTTCTCTTTCTTTTCGTGTGAGTGTGTGTGCGCATGTGCGTGTGTGTGTAAGAGAAAGAACACATATAAGTGAGAAAGATGCACGGTTGAGCCTGAGCCTCATTCTGTGATCACTGAGATGGTATCTGAGGCGCAGGGGGAGGGCAGGGATGGGGAGCGAGGGGGAAGTGTTCCCTTCCATCCTTTGGTGCTCGGTTTTCTGTAACCCTGGATTGTCAGAGATAGAGCGAGAGGCACTTTAGGTGAGATGACTAAATTATGCCTCCAAAAAAAAAAAAATTAAAGTACTTGGCTCCTCTGTGGTGTGTTTACACAGACCGCTCCATCCTTCCAACCCGCCCTCTGCCATGCATTCTGGTGTCCTGGACCACAGGGCTCTGGAGAGTGCTCTCGAGGAGGGAGCTGGGGGTAGGAGGACTCGGCATGCCGGTGGCAGGTAGAGGCGGTGGGCAGGCCACCCTGATGACCACTGCTGGCAGGAGACACAGAAGCAGGAGCCCATGAGCGCCTGTTTAGGGGAAGATGGCAGGTGCTGCAGGACTGGCTGAGCACATCCGTATGACACAGTGACAGGGCCCCTGTAAGACAGCTTCAGTTTCCCCAATCTCCCTGCCATGGAGTCTCCCTGGCCTAAGTCTTTAAGATGTGCCCAACTCCCTGAAGAAACTGATCTTGAAACTGATCGTAAAAATAAAGCCTGGGCATTCTGTAGCGAGTGGAGCAATGACTTTGCATCCTCTGTTAATCTCAGTAGCAAGCAGAAATTGGGTCCTCCAGAGCAAAGGCAGGCTCACTTTGTGAGCCAAGGTACTCCTCTGAGCAGGGTCAGACTGGAGCCAACGTTGGAACACAAGGACCCCTGGGCTTCTGCTTTCCTTCTGGCAGCCCAGACTTTTATGTCACAAAAGAGTTCTGCTCCTTGGCATCTAGGGCGCTCTTTGGAGTAACGGTCCACATGCAGGACTTCTGCAAACTGCAAAGTCAATAGATGCCAAATGCAAAACAAGAAAAAAAGAAAAGCAGCAATGTTTCTGGCAGAGAACAAGTAGATACTGGTCCGTGTCATCTCAGGCCGAGACGCCAATGGCACCTGGACTGATGGGTATTTACAAGCCATGAGCGTTGCACAGGAGAGCCCTTCTCTCTGTATACCACTACATGCTGCCTGCGACAGACCTATTTTGCTCTGGTTATACGATCATGCACTGCATAACGTTTTCAATGACAGACCACATATTCGACAGTGGTCCCGTAAGATTAGCACCTTATAGCCTAGGTATGTAGTAAGCTATACCATCTAGGTTTGTGTAAGTACTGCAGGGGAGGAAGGAATTTTCCTCTATCCTTCTAGGTTCTTCTGCCTGATCTAAGAATTAAACTGACATGAGACAGATTAACAGGAGAAAAATAAACAAAAGTTTAATGACATGTATACATGGGAGAAACCCAGGAAAACCAAGTAACTTGCCAAAATGGACAAAGCCCTCACCTTAAATACTATCCTCAGCTAGAGACAAAAGAAGATGTTGTGCGTGGGGAGAGTCAGGGACTTCTAAGGGAAGAAAGGCAATTCACAGGTAGGTGAAAAGGAGCAAACGTTTGGAAAACAAGTGTTTGGCCACACAGAAACAGAAGAACACAGAGGGGAGCCCAACCAACAGGCTTTTCTAGGTTCCTTCCCGTCCACCACCCAGTTCATGTGATGCTACCGTGATAGCTCACTTCCTGAGACAGGTTTTTTATCTGAATTCTTTTAGGCAGTTAAGGGGGAGGTAACAAGAAAACCTTTGAGTCTTTTGTTTCTTAAAAATAATCAGCCTAAAATAATCCTCATGTTAAAGAGACATATTTTGAAGGGGGGCAAATTTTGTTTCCCTTCAGTCCATTCTACGACATTCACACACAACGAAATCGCCTAACGATGCAGTTCTCAGAATGTATCCCCATCGTTAAGCAACGTGACTATATAAGAAGAGATGAACTGCTCCCGAGCAAAGTCAGCCAAATATTATTTAAAGGCATATTCTTCTATTCAGAATCATGTCTTCATACGTTTGCTCATTTCATCACTGTTTACCAAGCACAGCTGAACAAGATAAACCAAGGAGCTGTGAGAGAGTTCTAGAGAGCTCTCTCTGCTTAAGGCACAGTAACGTATCACTGATATAAATCTGTAGAAGTGAAAAGGGGAACAAATTCTGGCTTAGTTGTGGGACAAGAGTATCAGTGAGGCCAGGGCCTGAGCTGACCCTTGCCAGCATCCTGAGGCCGGAGTTGACAGCCTCATGCGTCTGCCTGCCCTGCATAAGGCCACGTGCCGGTTTCAAAGGCAGCCTTCCCACGAAGCACACAGAACAGAGTCGTGGACAAAAGCCTGGGGATGGCCACCTGAGGCACAAGAGGGCCCTTGGGGCAGCTTAGGTGTGTATTCATTTTCCTGCGTGTTGGCTCACCCTGGACATGGGGGCTGGTCTATGCTGGGGGCTCCTAGCTCACAGGAGACCTGAGGAAGCAGTCAGACGCGTTGCTCACGCTCTGAGCGGCACAGCTCACCCTCGCAAACTGCAGCTGACTCACTGTAAGACCCTGGGGGAGCCACTTTACCTCTGGAGTCCCAGTGTCCCCATCTGTAAATAGGGTGACAACACTTACCTCTTGGGTCATTTCAGGGGTAAAATTAGGCAGTATATGGGAGCACACTTTAAGAATCCTAAAGCACTAAAAAAATAAGGGATGAAAGATTAGAAAGTTGCCCCCATGTGGCTACTTCTCAAAAACGCTCAGTACCTTCAAGTGTCAAAAAACATGTCCTTTACCCCATCATGTCCTCCCATTCAATACAATGGTAATCTAAGTTCTAACAACACACATCCCCTCCTTCTCCCTGGATCACAAAAGGGGCCCACAGACATTTCATTTTCTTCTGAATTGGCTCTGGGACCAGACACAGAACATAACAAGCATGCACACACACACACAGGCTGCTCTCCAGTGCCTCAGGTCCATGTCAGAGGATGGTGGGCAAAATATTCTCCTGGGAAGGAACTAATTGGTGCTCTTTTCTTAAACTGCCTTAGAAAACGAGAATATGGTGTCCTGGGGCAAGATCCTGACATCTTCTCAGCTGTCTGGCCCTTCCATGAAGAGACATTTTGTTACGTGTGTGGGGACCTGGTTTTCCTTCTGCTCTGTTACCGTAGTGGCAGAGACAAGCATGTCACCCTGGAAAGACTCCTCACTCCTCCCCAAATCCCTGAGAGCTGTTCTGGCTCCCAGGGTATTGATTTTTCTCAGAACTAAAAACCCGTGGAGTTTAAACCACCTCTCTGTTCCCTAGTAGTGCATCATGGACCACGAGCTTCACGACCTGTCTGTCGACATCTCCATCTCCTGGTAGTTCAGGTCAGCCCTGCTGAGAGCCTGCTCTGAAATAGAGTGTGGCCGTGAAAATACAAAGCTTTCCTGCATCTGGAGAGCAGTGCCGTCATCTCAGATATCAAGGGCCACGTCCTAGACTCCCCTGCAGCTTCGAGGCAGGCAGTGCAATGCACTTCTTCTAGGAAAGCAAGCCCACAGAGTGACTGTCTTTATTAAAACACACTAACCATCCAAGATGCAGCTTGAAGTTTGGGGAAAGTGGACAGACTCTGTGACGATAAGTTAACCCGATTAACCACAGAGGAAGAACTCATGCACTTCATGAGGTAGCCTATCACCTTGTTGTTATTTTTAGACAGAGCAGAATCTTTTTCACATGATCACACAGCAGTACTGGAATATCGTTGACTGCTGTATTCTCTAAATAAATGCATGCAAAACCTTGTGAAAGTAGCTACTAATGTTTAAAAATTTAAAAAACAGTGTTTTTCTAACATATCCGTAAGTGGATCTGAAAGACAGTGATTTAGATGTAAAATCCTATGATCGTCCAGCCAAAACGAAGCAATCAATAGTCGACGTGACCGACACAAAAAGAGGCCCCAGTAGCTTCTGCTTTCTCTCCTGGGAGAGTGGAATGGTGGTCTGGCTGGTCCCCGAGCAAAACAGATCAGGCTTTGCAGAGGCTTTCAGAACTTACTCATAAATGTGGACAAGGTGGGAAGAAAGGTATCAGTGAAAATTCTCCAGGATACCTGTTCCCCGCTCAAAACACAAGGTTTAATCCAGCTTTCTCCAGAGCACGGTTAGACTCTTCACGTATTTGTGAGGCTGAAGTGAGAAGAGCAAACCCTCTGGGGGCAGCCGGTCTCCTGAGGACCACAGGAGGAATATCAGGGCTGCCATCACCCGCCACCTGTGTTTAAAAGAAGGCAGAAGCAAGATGGGCCACCGTTCTGCCTGCCTGTGTCTGCAGTCAGCTGTCCACTGTCCCCATCTTCCCCAGAGCTTCTAGGAAGGGCACCTGCCAGTGTGAGTCTCATTCACTGTGTGACAGGTCACTCGGGTTGTCCTGTTAGGGGTCAGTGTTCACCCCCTTCAGCAACTGTGTTCTACACTGCCTTAACTGAAATAAGGAACGCTTAAACGCAACATGTCCCCTGACGTGTTGGCATTGCCCCCCTTCCCGACACCTCAGGTCTGTCCTGACGGAGCGGAGGGTGGGACAGAGCTGTGCTGCCAGGTGCTGCAGAGCGGGCCCAGCAGCCTGTTCACAGTCCTGGCTCTCATTTTGATAAATGCTCTTCCTCTAAACAAAAAAAAACCTCTCAAGTCCGCTATTGGAATGCGAGACAAGGACTGCCTCGACTGAGAGAATATTTCTAGTTTCACATTTTGGAGTGACTAGCTATTTTTGAAATTTCTGGCATCTGTGTTCTGTTGAATTTTAAGGCGGTAAGTTGTATGAATACAAAGTTAGGATTGCTGAACTTTAATTTCTTTGGGTTTCTAAAATGAATTAAATTACACAAATTGTACCTTCTCTTCTTATGGTCCACGGTGCTAGTTTTAGCCAGATCTTTGCCAAACATTCTAAGAAAT